ACATGTAAGGAACTTGTTTAGGTATGCCTCTTTATCACCAAAGAGGACCCGTACACAGTGCTTCTGAGACAGCCAGATACTTGCTGTCCTAAAGAGTGCTGCATCACCCCAAACTGAGATACAATATGTGAGGTGGGATTCAAATAGTGTGTGGTAGAGGTCTTTATGGAGTTCCTTTGGTACAGAGTCCCTAATTCTATTTAAGGTGGCAGAGGCATAGTTTAACTTTCGTTTAAGTGCTGTTATATGAGGCCCCCAGGAAAGCTGTTCGTCAATAACAACTCCAAGAAACTTAGTTGCTTTGGTTTTTTTAATTGGAAAGCCATCAATATGGAGTTGAAGCGAATCTGGCAATTCTACTGATTTACTAGCCTTTGGTTTAAAATGCATATAACAGCACTTTGACATGTTGATGTGAAGTTTGTTAAGGATCATATACTTTTTTATACAGCTTAGCAATTTGTTGCCTTTCTCATAAGCTTCTTCTACAGTTTTTCCATCAATAAAAATGTTGGTGTCGTCAGCAAATAGTATGAAGGTTCCTAAATCCGAGGAATTGGCAATATCATTTATGTATAGAAGAAAAAGGAGCGGTCCCAAAACAGAGCCTTGTGGAACTCCATATTTAATGATAAGGTTTTCGGATTTTTCATTAAGGACTTCTGTATACTGTGTTCTATTTGATAAGTAGCTTTTAATAAGACAGTTTGCATTGCCTCTTATTCCATACCTATCTAGTTTTGTTAGGAGTGTACTATGGTCGATTGTATCAAATGCTTTACTCAAATCTATAAATATTCCTAGAACATGGTTTCGTTTTTTTATGCTATCTTCAATAATCCTAACAGAGTAGTTAACAGCATGGCTAGTAGAATGGGACTTGCGGAAGCCAAATTGGTTTTCATCAAGGATATTTTGTGACAGAGCGAAACTGTAGATACGGCTGTATATCACTTTTTCAAATATCTTACCAAATATAGGCAGTGTAGAGACAGGTCTGTAGTTTCCTACATCCTCTTGGTTTCCTTTCTTAAATATGGGAGTAACTTTCCCAACTTTCAAAACATCAGGAAATACCCCGCTCATCATGAGTTTGTTGAAATGTTGGGCTAAAACAGGGCAGATTAAATGAGCTGACTTTTTGATTATACGGATCGGAATATCACTAGATTTGCCATTTTCCAACTTGGAAATTATTTCCATGAGCTCAGTATGTGAACAGTCAGATAGGAATATAGAGTTATTGTTGGATGGCAGGAGGTAGTCTTCAAATGTTGAAAATTCAGAAGCCTGTATAGGCAGGTCAGCTATTGATTCATTTAGAGTGGAGGCAATTGAGTTAAAGTATTTGTTGAACTCGTTTGCAATAACCCTTCTATCTGTTATTTTTCTGTTGTCGATTATAAATGAGGGTTTTATAGTCTTTTTACACTTCCCTCTAAGTTCATTAATGATCTGCCATGTCTTCTTACGGTCGTGCTTATTTTCTATGATTTGGTTGCAAGAGTAAGTATTTTTTGCAGAGTTAATTACAGATTTGAGGATCCTTCGGTATACTTTGAAGGTTTGTTCGAGAACATGGTCTCCATCAGGGTTTGCCTTAGTTTTAGATGTAATCCAGTTATCTTTTAATTCATGTTTTTTTTCAACAGCTGCTGAGATACTATCTGTTATCCAGGGGTTATTGATAGGATTCCGTTTAGTAGTTTTTGGCTTTACAAGTTTGCATGTTGCATCAAGTACACGATCAAATAATTTAGTAAAATCCGAGAATTCATGAGAAGTGTGGAGCTTTGAGAGGTCAGTGTTCAGTAGGGTTAGGAATTTATTAAGGTTGGCATTACTGAAGTCGTAGTACTGGACATGTTTTTCACTTTTTGGACCAACCTCAAATTCGATGTCAGTGAATTCAAATGTTGGAGCATGGTCACCACACTCTTATACTTTATTAATGTTCCATGTTTCAGGGTGCTAAATTAGCGCGGATAGCAACTAGAACTGTTGGTATCCACACTCTTATACTTTATTAATGTCCCATGTTTCAGGGTGCTAAATTAGCGCGGATAGCAACTAGAACTGTTGGTATCCACACTCTTATACTTTATTAATGTTCCATGTTTCAGGGTGCTAAATTAGCGCGGATAGCAACTAGAACTGTTGGTATCCACACTCTTATACTTTATTAATGTTCCATGTTTCAGGGTGCTAAATTAGCGCGGATAGCAACTAGAACTGTTGGTATCCACACTCTTATACTTTATTAATGTCCCATGTTTCAGGGTGCTAAATTAGCGCGGATAGCAACTAGAACTGTTGGTATCCACACTCTTATACTTTATTAATGTTCCATGTTTCAGGGTGCTAAATTAGCGCGGATAGCAACTAGAACTGTTGGTATCCACACTCTTATACTTTATTAATGTCCCATGTTTCAGGGTGCTAAATTAGCGCGGATAGCAACTAGAACTGTTGGTATCCACACTCTTATACTTTATTAATGTTCCATGTTTCAGGGTGCTAAATTAGCGCGGATAGCAACTAGAACTGTTGGTATCCACACTCTTATACTTTATTAATGTTCCATGTTTCAGGGTGCTAAATTAGCGCGGATAGCAACTAGAACTGTTGGTATCCACACTCTTATACTTTATTAATGTCCCATGTTTCAGGGTGCTAAATTAGCGCGGATACCAACTAGAACTGTTGGTATCCACACTCTTATACTTTATTAATGTCCATGTTTCAGGGTGCTAAATTAGCGCGGATAGCAACTAGAACTGTTTGTATCCACACTCTTATACTTTATTAATGTCCATGTTTCAGGGTGCTAAATTAGCGCGGATAGCAACTAGAACTGTTGGTATCCACACTCTTATACTTTATTAATGTTCCATGTTTCAGGGTGCTAAATTAGCGCGGATAGCAACTAGAACTGTTGGTATCCACACTCTTATACTTTATTAATGTTCCATGTTTCAGGGTGCTAAATTAGCGCGGATAGCAACTAGAACTGTTGGTATCCACACTCTTATACTTTATTAATGTTCCATGTTTCAGGGTGCTAAATTAGCGCGGATAGCAACTAGAACTGTTGATATCCACACTCTTATACTTTATTAATGTTCCGTGTTTCAGGGTGCTAAATTAGCGCGGATAGCAACTAGAACTGTTGGTATCCACACTCTTATACTTTATTAATGTTCCGTGTTTCAGGGTGCTAAATTAGCGCGGATAGCAACTAGAACTGTTGGTATTCACACTCTTTTACTTTATTAATGTTCCATGTTTCAGGGTGCTAAATTAGCGCGGATAGCAACTAGAACTGTTGGTATCCACACTCTTATACTTTATTAATGTTCCGTGTTTCAGGGTGCTAAATTAGCGCGGATAGCAACTAGAACTGTTGGTATCCACACTCTTATACTTTATTAATGTTCCGTGTTTCAGGGTGCTAAATTAGCGCGGATAGCAACTAGAACTGTTGGTATCCACACTCTTATACTTTATTAATGTTCCGTGTTTCAGGGTGCTAAATTAGCGCGGATAGCAACTAGAACTGTTGGTATCCACACTCTTATACTTTATTAATGTTCCATGTTTCAGGGTGCTAAATTAGCGCGGATAGCAACTAGAACTGTTGGTATCCACACTCTTATACTTTATTAATGTTCCATGTTTCAGGGTGCTAAATTAGCGCGGATAGCAACTAGAACTGTTGGTATCCACACTCTTATACTTTATTAATGTTCCATGTTTCAGGGTGCTAAATTAGCGCGGATAGCAACTAGAACTGTTGGTATCCACACTCTTATACTTTATTAATGTCTTTCAGGGTGCTAAATTAGCGCGGATAGCAACTAGAACTGTTGGTATCCACACTCTTATACTTTATTAATGTTCCATGTTTCAGGGTGCTAAATTAGCGCGGATAGCAACTAGAACTGTTGGTATCCACACTCTTATACTTTATTAATGTCCATGTTTCAGGGTGCTAAATTAGCGCGGATAGCAACTAGAACTGTTGGTATCACACTCTTATACTTTATTAATGTTCCATGTTTCAGGGTGCTAAATTAGCGCGGATAGCAACTAGAACTGTTGGTATCCACACTCTTATACTTTATTAATGTTCCGTGTTTCAGGGTGCTAAATTAGCGCGGATAGCAACTAGAACTGTTGGTATCCACACTCTTATACTTTATTAATGTTCCGTGTTTCAGGGTGCTAAATTAGCGCGGATAGCAACTAGAACTGTTGGTATCCACACTCTTATACTTTATTAATGTTCCGTGTTTCAGGGTGCTAAATTAGCGCGGATAGCAACTAGAACTGTTGGTATTCATACTCTTATACTTTATTAATGTTCCGTGTTTCAGGGTGCTAAATTAGCGCGGATAGCAACTAGAACTGTTGATATCCACACTTTTATACTTTATTAATGTTCCGTGTTTCAGGGTGCTAAATTAGCGCGGATAGCAACTAGAACTGTTGGTATTCATACTCTTATACTTTATTAATGTTCCGTGTTTCAGGGTGCTAAATTAGCGCGGATAGCAACTAGAACTGTTGGTATCCACACTCTTATACTTTATTAATGTTCCGTGTTTCAGGGTGCTAAATTAGCGCGGATAGCAACTAGAACTGTTGGTATCCACACTTTTATACTTTATTAATGTTCCGTGTTTCAGGGTGCTAAATTAGCGCGGATAGCAACTAGAACTGTTGGTATTCATACTCTTATACTTTATTAATGTTCCGTGTTTCAGGGTGCTAAATTAGCGCGGATAGCAACTAGAACTGTTGATATCCACACTTTTATACTTTATTAATGTTCCGTGTTTCAGGGTGCTAAATTAGCGCGGATAGCAACTAGAACTGTTGGTATCCACACTTTTATACTTTATTAATGTTCCGTGTTTCAGGGTGCTAAATTAGCGCGGATAGCAACTAGAACTGTTGATATCCACACTTTTATACTTTATTAATGTTCCGTGTTTCAGGGTGCTAAATTAGCGCGGATAGCAACTAGAACTGTTGGTATTCATACTCTTAGGGGACTGAGGAACAAACGAAACAAACGTTCCAAAAGACGAGCTGCAAACTCTGCGTAAGTTACCACATTAACCAATATTTTAATGCTAATTAAGTTGGATTCTAGCTTTCCTTTGCATACAAGTACAGCAAAACCTCAATTATATACTGTGCTTCTTCTTTCTCACAGACTTTTAGTTAATTAGCTCGTGTTGTGCAAGAAATGTGTATCATCATAGCTCATATCGTATTTGGTAGTGATTTGAGTATATATTATCGAGCTGTATTCCATCATCACAATACGACACATTAAGTGCATATCAGCTCCTAATGGGACGCTTAACTGCTTGACAGGCTATTTTCTAGACTACAGATACTGATGATTGGATTATGTCAACCTCTCTATACCGGGTTTTTCTTTACCGTGCACGTTTCCTTTCCGAGAGTCCCGGTAAAGCGGGATATAGAGGTTTTACTGTAGTAGTCGATGTTGCTTATTTTACAAATTCAGTTTTATACTGCTCTGGATGTTATTTGGAGTAATTGTAAAATACCTGATACTTCCCTCCTCACAACTCCTCCTTAAAACCCTTCTTGCAGGGCCTGGAGTCCACCACGTAAATCTAGTCCAGAACGTTTGGAAGCCTGGAACCAACGAGGTAGGCAAACCTCAGCAAATAATCACAATTGTTGAAGTTTTAATAATAGTCTTCAGGAAATACATTACATTTTTAGAGTATTAATAAATAAAATTCGGTGTTTCAAAAGTGTTGTAATCATCATTTAAACTCTTTAATTTTAAGATATATCGGTGGAACTGATAGTCACCATAGTTATTATAGCAAACATAGCTGTTTATTTTTTGTTCGAAGAGTTATAATATAATTGATTTTCTTGAAGCCCTTAGCTTGTGGAGAAGTGTCGTTATCCACAATTGCTGTTCTACAATTGTTGTTCTACAATTGTTGTTCTAAAATTGTTGTTCTAAAATTGCTGTTCTAAAATTGTTGTTTTACAATTGTTGTTCTACAATTGTTGTTCTACAATTGTTGTTCTACAATTGTTGTTCTACAATTGTTGTTCTACAATTGTTGTTCTACAATTGTTGTTCTAAAATTGCTGTTCTACAATTGTTGTTCTACAATTGTTGTTCTACAATTGTTGTTCTACAATTGTTGTTCTACAACTGTTGTTCTACAATTGTTGTTCTACAATTGTTGTTCTGACTTGTTCGCTCATTTTGGAGCCATCAGTGTAGCATTGGGTAGTGTTGGTATTGTCCTTATCGTCCTGGTACTCCGAAATACGATGGATTTCGGTGGTAAAACCAAAGTCCACATTCATAGATGTAGTCCGTTGGTCTTATCCCTGAGAGTTGAAGATGGTAGCATTTAGTAACTGTTCGTTGAGTTTTGTGTTGGTGGTTAGCTTCCATCTGGTTGACCATAGTTTAATTTATCCAGCGGTTGAACTTAAGTCTGAGGGCTTCTTTTGCCACTTCTTCCTCTATCATTAAATCTATGGGAATGATTCATGTGATTGATGTTTAGAGCTGCACCAGGAATGGAAGGTAACCGCATGTGCTCAAACCCTCGAGGTCTGGTCTGCTCCGAGCTATCAAATGTTATCTTGATTGGGTCCTCTGTTATGTCACTGTCGGGGCCTCACTGGTAAATTTTGGTTGATTTTAAGTCCGAATCATTAGAAGCATTACTGATAGGTAGCGAGGGCTCTTTGAGGAATATTTACATTAAAATTTAGAAAGGTTTGTAGTTTCTGTAGCGTTTTGTCCCGCGAAAGTCTGAATATGCCGATCCAAATTACATTTGTGCGTAGCGCGCAAAGAGATTTTTGTCGATACAAAACAATTTTCCAACAATTTGTGAGAGCGCGCGGCAAGAGCCGCGCGCGCTGGACTATCTATCCAGATGGAATACTCAATACTATAGTAGTTTTGTTCATATCAGGGGGTACAAGGGGATGCTGATAGGAGTGTTACATTATAGTTGGGTTATTATGTGCTAGGGGTAGCTGAGATGCATATACGTTACCGATGATTTGTATTTAAATTTAAAGCACTAGCTGAGCTGAAGCAGTAACGGTAGAGATGATTTAAATGCAGTAACATCATACATTAACCAAACCACTTTTCAGATACAAGACCATCAGATCTGACCAGTAGTGAGGTGGCTGGATTCTCTACCGCTGCAATACGGGCCCACAAAGCACCGAAGGCGGAGTCTGTTCTGGGTGCTCATCGTTACTTTGAAGAGGCTCAACCCGGACCTTCCACTCAAAGGGACAGTGCAGTGAACCCCACTCCTGTAAACGTACTTGATCTCATCACTGCTGACATCATTAACGCTACTTCTAAAACTGCCACCGTAGATAAAAAGGGAGACATCGTTTACAAGACCCGAGACGAAGTACTGAAAGAGAAAGATACAAAAAATGCACCCAAACAATCAGTCGATCAAGAATGTCCCGTCCGTCAACGTAAAGTGAGAATAGATTCGAGTAAATGTTCTCCATCTAAATCCGAAGAAAAGAAGTCGTCCAAAAGAAAACGAGATTCAACCTCTGAAAAGCGTCCAAAAGTTGAAGAAAAGCTTGATAAATCATCGGAGAAGCGTGATAAATCATCAGAAAAGTCTAAATCTGGAGGTGGAAAGCGCAAGTCTAGTAAAAAGGAGTCGCGCAGCAGAAGTAGATCTTACAGCTCCTCCCCTCGACGTAGAAGATCGAGCAAATCTGTTAAGTCTCCTCCTAAAACTAAAAAAGAGGCGAACGACAGCATTGTTTCCGAGAACAGTAGTGAGGTGCCCGCTGTAAAAGATTCTGCAGGGAAGGAGGATGTTGTAAAAGCGTCTGACTCTCAGGAGAGAAAGGAAATATCAGAGAATGAAAAGAAGAGTGCGAAATTACCCAAAACTGAATGTTCGGATAAAGAAACATCATCTTCAAAGAAGAAATCTTCGTCGGACGATAAACGTAAGACTGGTAGTTTCAGTGATAATAAAGATGATGGGAAAGAAGAGACGTCAAGCACGGCTCCTGAGGGAACGAAAAACGTTAGAAAGAGTAAGCATGCTAAATCATTCGAAAGTACACATGTAAAGACCGATAAGAGGTCCGACGAAAAGTCCGACAAGGCATCTTCAAACAAGTCGAAATCGTCACGAAATAATAAATTGGGAAAAGAAAATGAAAACGAAAATACGAGTGTTGAAAAAGAAGCGAAGAAAAGGAAAAAAGAAAAAGGTCCGAAAGAAGAAAAAGAAACTAAAATCGAAAGATAGGGTTAGTTCTAAGGAGAAGAAATCGCTCAAGAAACCAAAATCGAGGTCCAAATCTAGTTCCAGATCTCGAGTACGCTCCTTATCTAGATCAAGATCTAGAGTACGCTCTTTATCTAGGTCTAGATCTCGGGTTCATTCCGTATCTAGATCTAGATCAAGGTCAAATTCTCTGCACATCATAGAAAATCTCCGCGACAAATACAGTGATAAGCCTGACCAAGAGGACAACAGCTCGCAATCACACAAACATCGCAGCTCTTCTCATGCTAAACATTCTCGAGCAGGAAGGAATGACTCAGGAGGAAGAGATTCAGATAAACGGAGCACGAAAGGAAGAAAACGGAAAACTTCAATGAAGCTAGATGAATTTGGCCGAGACAAGACTCTAAGAAAAGCTGAGTCTGAAAGTAAGAAAAGCTCTTCGCCTCATCATTCGTTAGAAATCCTTAAGGGCACAATCAGACTCAATGAAATTCCTAGTCCGCCCTCCTCTCTCCAAAAACTGGAACAGAAGACCAACAGTACCAGTATTTCAGATAACTTCACGGGAGCGTTAGGATCTCTTGATGATGTGTATTCGCCTGGTGACGAATCACCATTAGACGATGTTTGGCCGACGAAGAGTAAAGCCACTGAAACTGAAGAGGCATCCACTATGCCTAACTTGTCCCAGGTACAGCTGCCCTCACTGACATCTATCGTTGAGAAATTAGCAGCACCTGGATTCTCGAACACCATGAAGAATATCGCGAAGGAGCGTGGTTCTGAGACTGGTGACTCGGACGACATGATCATCGACTCAGGCGATGGAGATGATACTGAGTGTTCACCCTCATCGCCCCAGATAAACACTGTCTCCGACCTCGTTATAAAGATGAAGCGAGCTGAGGAAATGAACAATATAAAGACACCTTCTCCAAAAACTCCGGAATTTCTCATCAAGGAAACTTCACCAGGATTTGCGGAGCCCAGTGCGGGGCCCATCACTTCACCACCTGCAGCTTCCCCTGGTCTTTCCACCCCGGAATACTTGATGACTCCTCCTGAACTTCAAGAGGAAAGGCGACGGGATCGGGTCCGAAAACAAACTGAAATCGAGAAGAGAAGCAGAGAAGAGAAGCACCCGGTTCCTGATAGGAAAAAACGCTCCTCAGATACAGATAAGCGAAGGCGACCTTCAGATTCCAACAGAAAATCTCGAGACAGTCGGACATCCTCCAGAACTGAAGAGCGAAAGAAAAGTGAAACTGGAGGTAAAAAAGCGTCTAGTAGAGAAACCAGGAAACATTCTGAGTCAAAGAGGACCTCACAGGACGTTGACAAGAAAAGGAAGCTCTCTGAAGGAGGCGAAGGAGAGAATAAGAAACTAGTGATACCTCTCTTGGACGCTTCTCCGCCACCACCCCCTCCCCCTCCCCCTCGTGGATCTCTAGTTATACAGGATCACGGAGAGGCAGCCACCTCCACTGAATCTAGCAGGACTGTAACTGCCTCTACTGTACCTGACTCTGCGGGTAGAAGCCCCCTGGCTAACGGCAAGAGCTGCTCAGCTCCTTTAGTATATGTTAACAATAACTCCCAACCTACCTCCATACTCTCAAATTTAGCAACTCTCGATTTTAGCAATGGATCAATGGTGAGAAAGCGCTCCAGATTGGACCCTCCTGCCCCGTCCACCATGTCAGTAACTGATATAATGGGTTCTCCATCCATCATGCTCACTGCACTGAATGACTCCTATGCACTAGAACAGTTCAATGATGCGTGGTCCAGGGAGGCGCAGTCTCCCACCTCTTACACTCCAGGTAATTGCTTGTCCTTATTAGAATCATTTTCCTTCTTGTTACTTGTGGCGCGCCGCCGCAAACATTATGATGCACTACCAGACAAGATTTTAGCAAAGCTACGAGATGGAAGGGATTGACATCGTCAATCAATATTTTGCATGCTAGCTGGTGAAAAGTGTTTAAATGCCTTATGAGATTCGTTGATTTAAACTTTTTCCCCTCGAAAATTTCAGAGCCCAAAAGATTTAACCTTACAAGAAGTGAGTTGCTGTTCTATTGGAACTACTCCAGTACTCTATTATTAGAGTACACAGCATTTAAATCACTGATCTTCAATATTTTGATCTTTATGCTGTGCTATAACGCATGATTCTACTCCTAACACAACATAATATTTGATCTATTCCTCGAATGAGTGATAATAGCAAGAAATACCACAAAGAAGTATTTCAATCGGGCACTCAATGACTGAAAAATAAGCCCGAACGTATGTTTTCTGACTTTTGGCCACTGGCCCCCTGTGGCCTGTACAGTGTACAGCAACTGAATTCTAGGCCGCAAAACATGATACGGCCGGAATATTTCAAAGAACTTACCTAATTTCAACGAATTTAGTACTTAGTTAAAATCTGCAGGAGAAGATGAAAGTGAGACAAAACCGGACAACCCTGACAATCAGCATAGCACTCCTGACAATCATCGAGCAACTCCGGACAACCGTACTCCTATAGATCCTAGAGGTACTACTGCTAGAGGTATTTTAAGTTATTTGTGCTGAACACCCCACCTGCACTCCACCCCACCTCCACCCCACCCCACCTTCCCTAAAAGTGATTGTTAATAGTTTCCCGAAGAGAATCGTAACTTCAAAACCTCACGTAAATAACTTGCCAGAGACTCGAATGAACACAGCCAGCAACCCTCTAAAGATGATAATGGAGAGCATTGAAGGGAGCTACTGGACACGATAGGTAGTGAGGATATGGACATTGAGGAGGACGATGTTCCACCACCACCTCCTCCAGCAACTCAGCAACCCTCCCACCTCTCTCCTAGCACCACTCCTCTCTTACCACCCCCTGCCTCCACAACTACTAATACTAAGGTTAGCATAATAACCACAACTACTAATACTAAGGTTAGCATAATAACCACAACTATTAATACTAAGGTTAGCATAATAACCACAACTATTAATACTAAGGTTAGCATAATTACCACAACTATTAATACTAAGGTTAGCATAATAACCACAACCTATACTTCTAATACTAAGGTTAGCATAATAACCACAACTAATAATACTAAGGTTAGCATAATAACCACAACTACTAATACTAAGGTTAGCATAATAACCACAACTACTAATACTAAGGTTAGCATAATAACCACAACTATTAATACTAAGGTTAGCATAATAACCACAACTACTAATACTAAGGTTAGCATAATAACCCTTACCTTTCAAAAGTGCATTTCTTGTTGTTGTTGATTTACCGGGTAATGTTTGAGAGGCCAGGAGTAGACAAAAACTTTTGAAAGATAAGCGATAAGCAATAACCCTTTCATCTATCTAGTACCGCCCCTTTAATACAACCCTCTGCATCACTGTTATATTTCAGATAAAACCTAAAGTGAAAGGTTCAGGAGAGAAAGATAAGAGTGATAAAGATAAGAGTGACGGAAAGCCTGGTAAACATGGCACCAATGGAAACGTACAGCAAGAGATAGCAAATATCGTCAAACTTGCTCTAAAAGTTCCTTACAAAAAGAAGAAAATTACTAAAGAGGAATACAAGAACATCATGAAGCAAGTTGTCAGCAAGGTAGATAACCAATCAGAACACATTATTAACACCATGTGACACAAAATAATCAATCAGAACACATTATTTACATCATGTGACACAAAATAATCAATCGTAACACATTATTTACACCATGTGACGCAAAATAATCAAACGTAACACATTATTAACACAATGTGACACAAACTCACCAATCAGAGCACATAATTTACACCACGTGACACAAACCAACCCATCAGGTGTACGAAAGTCGGCATGTGAAACGGGGGGACCCTCTCAGACCTGATAAGATTACAGAAATGGTGGCATTGTACATCAAGCAGTCCAAACACCACAAAGCAAAAGCAAAAGTGACAAAAACTGTCGAACAAGCTGCCCTCTGAAACGAGCTGGATCGACCACTCAGTAAATAGTTTCAAATTGTGAGAAGTCACGTGACTTGGTTGTGACTGGGATTCTTGTTTGAATATAAGTTGTCGGGTCCGAAAACCATGGTAACAGTAAAACGGTTAACTACCATTTTTAGAGAAAATCCCACTTTAAAATCGTCCCACATGTTTAATTGTTTATTAGAGTAATTTCATCAGGACCAAACTTAAACTACTGTTTTGACCGAGTATTTAGTATTTCCTGTTCACATTATCTCGTAAGAGTAGTTTCTATTAGGGACTACTCATGCTCGACTCCATTCGGAAAACGATCTAAAAATTCAGATCTATTTTATCGCACTGTCAGTTTCCCCGGTAACCATGGTAACAGTAATAAAGCAGTCAGCGTTAATTATTGTGTGTTTACCTGGATTAAAGCAGTCTAATGTTCATTTATTTAATCACCCGTTAATTAACTATCTCTAAAACTTGTCTCTAATTAACCTTAAAACTGAAGGACATCAGATGTTTTTATAATAATTTATTGAAAATCCCGCTGTAATAACTGGTATGTTTTACTAAATCCGCACTTTTATTTTACTGTTTTAATACCGATTGGAAAACTCTTGTAACTCAAAAAAAAAGGAAAAATGAGCTTAACGAAAAATTTAGAACCCCTGGCCCTTGTCGTTTACTTTCAGTTGTTCAAGAAAGTAAATTTATTGTTTATATACTTACTGTAATATTTTAAAAAGTAGAAAATTTGTTATTACTACATGCTACTATACTGTTACTATATACTACTATAATTAACCAAATAACCATGTAGACATGGTGCTGCCACTATCACTTATACAGACTGCCATCGACCATCCCATGTTGATCGAGCTTAAAAATGGTAAGTAATTATTAGTACTATTTATTATTATGCTGTCAAATTATGCGCTGGCGATAATGCTTTTAATTTTAATATCTAGCAATGAAATTTCCCATTGACTTAAAAAGAATCCCGGGAAAAAACTCTTCCCTACTGAAAAGATAGATACAGATGGTATTAAACTTAACTTTCGCAGGAGAAACGTACAATGGTAACCTGGTGAAATGTGACACGTGGATGAACATTTACCTTCGCGACGTCATTTGCACTAGCAAAGATGGTAATTTGCATTTACATTACTTCATTTGCACTAGCAAAGATGGTAATATGCAATGGCATAAATGGAGAACATGGAGAATTACTCATAGGTTTTTCCATTTTCTCCATAGAAATAGTCTCCATTTTATGCCATTTTAAGCCATTGGGCTATTTCTGGAGATATCAAATAATTCTTTTTGATTTTTTTTCTGTGTGGTATCAATCGTGTTATTTTTTCAGGCGATCAGTTTTGGAAGATACCAGAATGTTTCATCAGAGGAAACACAATTAAATACATGAGAATTCCAGACGAGGTTATAGACCTTGTCAAAGACGAACCAATCAGAAGGTAACCAAATAACCAATAAATTAGTTACTAACTGCACTTATTATATAGATTAAAGCTAATCAGAAGGTAACTAAATAACCAATATTAGGGGTCGTTCAAATATCACGAAATCAGCCGACGCGAGGGAGGAGAGGAGGGGTTTCTAGATGATTAAGCTAGTGTAATTTTGACAAAATAGCTAATAGCTATATTATGTAAAACTGATTACGGAGGGGAGGGTGGGGGGGGGGGGGGTAAAAATGGGCCAAAAAGTGATAACGTAATATGTGAACAACCCTTAAAGGAGTTATTGACTGCACTTATAATATGTATATATATTTTGTAGCTGTACTCCTACACATTAAAAGTCGGTGTTGATTAGATCTTCGAAATAAGTCTTTGCATCATTTTATTAAACATCGTTATCTGAGATAAAATTGTTCTAAAAGCAACTGGAATATTCACAAATCTTTAAAATAACTTACAAACTAGGAAAGGAAAACAAGTCTTAGGAAGACGTACAAAACTATGTGACTTAAAACGGTACAAAACTAAAATATACTGAGTAATAATCAAACGAAAAAAATGGCTGCGTACATTTTATCTAATCTATTAAAGATTAGTTTCTCGGAAAAAGCTAGATTTCTCTGAATCAAGCAGTAAACATATATAAATAGTAATGGATATAACACGTCTCTGATAGCAATATTGTAAACTAAACACGGGTTAATAGGCTGAGATCATGTCAAATAAAATAAATAAACTAAACACTAAGCTCCAGCGGATTTAAAAAGGATGTGGTTACTATCGAGGGTGTTCATACCCCCATAACGCTCAAGGGTTTTCAATTGGGTCTGGTAGAACCCCTCTCTAGCTTCCATGGCCTTTTCCCTATCTGCTTGACTTATTTCAGGTTTAAATTCAAGAGCGTCCACTATAATAACAGAAAGGTGCGTACTAAGTGAAGTGTTATATAAGGCTACTGAACTAAAATCTAAATCATGATCAATATCTAAAAAGTGATTTACTAACTTACAACTTCTGATACCTTTCTTAATGTGGCTCTTATGATTAGAAAATCTCTTAGGGAGATTAGAAGTAGTATATCCTACATACGACTGTTTACAAGTTCTACACTCCATTAAATAAATAAGGTTATTACTCTGACAAGTTATATATTTAGTAATAGGGAAAACTTGTTTAGAATGGTGACTACTAAATTTGGAACAAGGGGACAGGAAACTTTGCTTACAAACATAGCATTTTCCACAGGCATGGCACCCTGCGTTGTCAGCCTCCCGAACAGCCGGCAATATTGCAGCGTCTGGTTCAAGAAATTGACTAGCAGTGGCTTCTCCATCTCTATCACTGCTTACAGTTCCACTAGCACGATACTTATTGTGTACAAGCATGCCACCGATAGTTTGATTCTTTCGGTGACTTACAAATACACTGTCAGCACGTACTAGCTTCTTCAAGGCTGGATCGAGATTAAGAAGGTGCTTATACTTGTGAATAATGCTCCCCATGTTGGGAAGTGCTGGATTCTGATCCATCACCATGGGTATTAGACAAGTAGTCGTCTCATCCTTATTTTTAGGGGCATACAAGTTTTTCCTATTGGTTATATCACTAAATTTGTTGAAAGCATCGTCTACAATACTAGAATGGTAACCACGGGCTACAAGGTAACCAGTATATACCTCCCTTTGCTCTAAGAAATTAGTGTCTTCACTATTGTTCTGCCTCACTCGCCTCGCCACACCATAGGGTATGTTTTTGAGAACATGGCTCCTATGACATGAGGTGGGGATGAGATAGCAGTGGGTGTCACTGGGCTTAGAGTAAAGTTTGGTATGAATAACATCGCCAACAGCATAGACATAGGTGTCTAAAAACTCAACACCATCCTTAGAGTAGTCGTAAGTAAACACAAGGTCCGGATGGATACTATTGAGCCATTCCATAAATTGTAGAAGCTCCTCAACAGTACCAGGCCAGGCCATGTATATATCGTCACGCAACCTACCCCAGAATGCTGGTCTGTGTGGCGGGCCATGTTCTAAATCTCTTTCATTAACTAAAATATCGATCTTATCCATTGCACAATCTGCATACTCACATGAGTTATTAGGACCCATCGCCGCTCCACGCTCCTGACGGTATGTTATACCGTTGAACGAAGCTATGTTGTAATCAAGAGTGATTTCTAGAGCACTAATAATGCATTCTGTACTGAACAATTGATCATAACTACTTCTTTCATTCAGGTGCTTGGTGCATTGTTGGATCCCCATATCCCTGGGGATATTGGTGAACATGTTGGATATATCTATGGCAACATGTATCACCTCCTTACCCAACAATATGGTGGACTCATTCAAGCTATCAATCTTCCTCAAAAAATGAGGGGTGTCAATAATTCTATAATCTAAAATAGCCTTCTTCAATTCGTATGCAGTCAGGGCAGATAGGTTCTCAATGTACGAACCACATCCAGTAGTAATCATCCTCCCAGGGTACAAAGGTGGCTTGTGGGCCTTGGGATTCAGGTACATATTACCAGGCTGGTTGAGCTCCGTACACGGAATAACCCACTCCCTGACCTTCTTAGACATACCTAATTCTTCTTTATACTTGACTGTCCAACATGAAATTTTATCAATTAATTCTGAAACTAAATCATCTACATTATTTACAATACTATATACAGATCTATCATTCAAAATATAATAATATTGTAAAATATATTGAAGCTAGTAAGTATTCAAGGTAACAATCCCGAATTATCTGGTCACCAAATTTACCCGTTCCAGTGGGCAGCCCACAAATAAATGTGACCGGAAAGTGGACTGGAGTCCAGGTCCAGTATCTGTTCGGTTTCCAAAAGTACTGCATATCCAAGGGTTACAGGGTGGGATATGGGCTACCGGCTGTACTGGTCGCCGTACCTGCAGTCACTGTTATACCTGTAGTCACTGTAGTCACCACTCACCGGTAAGTGGTCAGATAAGCTCTGTGTTGACTGAACTGCATGTGGGTTATGATGAGATGGGCGCCGCTTTGTGAACAGTGTTGCTTTACTCCAACTTGAAAGCAAAAGTAAGGCCATGTTCGGTCCGGACCTACATGCATTTTCTTCTGTTAAGTAAAGAAGTAACTGTGATATGTATATTGTAAGACGCCTCCTCCACCGCCTCCACCGCCGCCGCATGTCCCACTTCCCAGTTCACTGACTCAGCGGCGGCCATATGGGCATGAAGCTGTTAGTGCAACAATAAACATCCGGTTGCAACAATAAACATTCGGGTGCAACCACTAACATTTGGGTGCAACTGTCAATCTTCTCCATTATTTCACTGTCTGCTTCGACATTTTATATTCGTTAAATTGGTATTCGGATTTAAAACTCTGTGTGCGAGGTCACCAAATTCGGTGACTACAATCGGTCAGGATACTTAACTTAGTACAAGTTGGCTTCCACTGGTTCTCACTTATGATATAGACCCGGTAACTTCCTGCCCTCGGTTGAGAAATACTATTTATGTTCTAAAAACCGTCGTAGTAGTATGTATTACATAATAATATCCCCAATATCTAGTAGCAATGATTTTGTTTTGAGAGCGAAACTAACAATTTGTTCTGCAGGCACCAGAACTACCGGAGCGCCAGAGGCCGCGGTGGAGCCCGAGTGGGCAACAGACCACAACACGTCCCCAACAAGAAGAACAAGACCGGAGGAGGGCAGCCCGGAGGAGGGGGCCGCGGGGGGCTCGGGGGACCAAAGAATAAGAAGCCTGACCAATAGTGCGCGGTGTGGACGTGCTTCAATAGTTGCCATGGTTACAGGTGACTTCGCTCTTCAACAAATGCTCCCGTTTGGCTTTCGTGCCAGTTAAATATGTACGGTATCTGAACAAAACCGTGGGCTGAAGAACGCTGATCGTATCTTACCTCTCTTTTATCCATTGTACAAACACCATTAGATGGTGAAAGTTAACGAGATTATTTATTTGATCATTGTTCCTACAATGGTTTAACTTTAACGAGGTTTAGTTTCCAGGAGCAAGGAGGTGCTCCTGCGCTTGGAACTTTGTTTTTATTTGTTCTTTATATTTCATTGTTCAGAATATATTTCTTCTCATTTGACAATAAAAGCCAAGTCTAATTTCTGTACTTATTTTAAAAGAAAGGATCCAAGTTTCACTAATTTAAGTTCTTCTAAAATTAAATCTCGAACAGCAGCGAACGCGTACTTAACCGAAAAGATCCTATAATATTGTAATACAACTACGCGTTTTGTTCTAGAAACAGTTTTTTAGAGATTTCACCGGCGTATCCTATAAAATCATCTAATTTGTTCCATTTTAGGGAGGGGCGCCAAAAGGGTAGGGGCGCTTTTTCAGCGGGGGGGGGGGGGGGGGGGCGGCGCCAACAGGCAACGTTACACCACTGTTTCTGGTTACTGATTCAAATAAGCTCACTCTTAAATACAATCAGAACTAAGAAACCTTGATTAAATTCGGACAGTGGGTCAGTCGTTTAAAACATTAGGCGTGGCCATGTCCGCGCTTCTAGCTCTATGATACGCTAAATTACGTAACGTAAATGCGCGCGCGCCGTGTTAAACCTCAAATCTGCGCTGCAATGATTAAGACACTGTTTCACGCGCGTTCCATTATGAAGATTTCTTGGCTGCTGATTATTTGCCACGCTATGCACAATAGACATGTGGCGCAATCAATCCATTTTTGAACAAATTTCTGATTGGCATTTTCTGATTGGCATTATACGGGGAATAATAGTGTACAAAAGCGGACAACTAGGGGCGAAAAATAGGCGAGCGTGTCGAATCACTCTACTGCAGTGTGTTCTAAAACTAAATACATTGGAATGTCCCATATTAATCGCAAAGGGTTAAAATGCTTCCTTGACGAATTATTGGCCAAAACGGTCACGTGAAATATAATTGAGTAGGTCAAACTTCTCGTTAGGGTTAGGTTTTCGGTTTATTGATAAATATCTGTCAGGGCGAGCGAGCGAAGAGTAAGTTACGCCTTTACGCCACAGAAATAAATACAACATCTCTTTCGTTCAACAAGTCAAAATGTTGCTTACATCATTGATGAAAAATCAATCACAGAGGTATAACGGAAAAAAGAATAACAATGAATCAACAAAACCGAAACTTTTCAGTCGGTACAAATTTAAAACGGAATGGTTTCCACAGTCGCTCAGATGTCCAGACATGCGATAATCATTTAGTTACGATCTACTTTATCTACAGTTGCAACAATTCATTATCTACAATCATACATAGTCATACTTTAATTGATACTTAAATTGGTACTTTTAAAACTTTAAAATCCACTGAATAAATAAGATCTGATTAAAATAATATAATTTAAAAATTCCCTATTTTCAGCAGTGAAAATGTTGAGCAGAATAAAGAAATAATTAACAACAGTTCAGGGATAAATATCACAGCGATTAATTAATATCCGGATCATCGTAGAACTACTACAAAACTTACACAGTCACATCCTGAGACTAGCTTAATTAACTACTGACAACAGAAAATGAATAAAGTAATAAGCAGTGCTTATTTGAAATGCCTTAAATATTTTCCTTAAATCTTAAGTGCCTGAGGCAGCAAAAAACCCCATAAACCCTACGAAAATATAGCAATAATCAATATCAAATCATTTCTCCCAAAATTTTTAAGTAGCGTAAGGGATCGTTCACATATCATGCAAGCAATTAGAAAGGTTATTTGAAAATGATTACGCCAGCGAAATAAAGGGGATGCCGAAATAAAACGTAACAGTGAGCGTTCCCTTACCAGATGCATGGCGGATCGACCTTATTAGGAAAGATCATTACAAAATATTTCTGAAACACAAGCAGGGGTCTGCTCATCTATAAACCTTAGAATTCTTGAAAACTAAATCTTCCTCCTCATCACTACTATCATAGTCTCTCAACAGCTTCTGAAATCCATTTTTATCATAACTGTCACTGTCCCCTCTATTGTTACACCTAATCACGATGACCACCCCCATGTACGCAATGGGAATGACCGCTAACACCGCGATTACGACGAGAAAAGAAATGGGAATATTGGATGCAAGGATGTTGAGCAGTGCGGGTGTTTCCTTACGTTTCTCCGTGTCTTCCTGTTTTTCAGAGAGCTTCCACACGTGGAACGGTGCGGTTATTTCACCGAGGAAGATGCCGATGTGCTGGATGTAGGTTAGGGCGTGTGGCATGGTGAAGTTGCTGGTGTTGCAGGGGTACACTCCTTTTATCTCTCCTGAAATATTAAGATGTTTACAGGGTACACTCCTTTTATCTCTCCTGAAATATTAAGATATTTACCCATCATACAGCGACTCTTAAATAACCCTGAAGGGAGCCTGAAGTGTGTGCCTTTAGTGAACTTTAAGTTAATTAAGATGGATTATTAAGTTTTCTAATCTGTATTATGACAAAAGGTAAGAACCCCGGTCAAAATCTATTCCTGAATTTGTGTCTGTGCAAAATACCGAAAAATACAATAACCAAATAGATCTGTCAAACACCTGTGAATCCCCATCAAACATACCTGAATCTACGTTAACCAACATGACTTTAGCAGGAGATTCCGAATCAGATATATTGACAGCAGCAATTAATCTACTTTCAGGAATGTAGTCTATAGCGTACACACTCCCCGGCACGGAATACACTGCTGTGAAGTTTCCTTTGTAGGTCATCGTGTGGATCTGAACATTTAGCTCGTTAATGTATCTGTTTAAATGTTACAGTAACATGTTTGGATCCGTTATTTCGGTTAAAGACCTGATTGAGATATCAATTATACTGTTAATTGGACGATATTAATCAATTTTACCTGTCCGTTCTCCCGGTCTGCCACATAAATCATCCTATCTGGGTGGTTGATAGCCAGATCGTGCACCAAGCCCATACTCCCAGGTACTTTCTTCTTTCTTGATTCTTTGCCAAATTCTCCGACAAATATCCCCCTCTTGTTAAATTTAACAACCCGGGAGTTGCAGTATCCGTCGCCGACGAAGATAAAGTCCTCTGCAGTGACGACAACCGAAGTAGGTTTGCAGAAATGGGACGAATCGTTACCGGGCTCAAATTTAGTTCCTGAAATCGATATTGATAGTTACAGTATGCTCCTACTAATAATAATAAATTGAAATTTAATAACACCGCTATTAAGATAAAACTTATACTCAGCAGTGTTTAAACTAGTCATCCCAGAAAATAACATGACTACTAAGTTAAGAAAAGTAACTTATGCTTGAAAATATATACAATACTAAAGCCAGAAAATGGTACTTAAACATATTATGCAAAGATCAAACACTACTAATGTTTTAGCAAATATATTATACTCAATCACGATTATAAGTTTCTTTTAGCGACTTTCCTTCCGATTAACATTCGGGGTGACATGATCAGATTTTGAAGGTCAAAAGACGCTTGAAATAAAAGTGGACCGCTTTGTTTAAAAAGCTCAGTGTTTCATGAAATTTATAAAAAAGAGAAACAAAAATGCAAATAATTAATTAAACTGACCTAGTATTAACGAGGGCTCCGTCTTGTTAACCTCAAACTTTAGAACTTGATGAAGAGCAACATCAGTAACAAAGACATTGTCATGGTGATCAACAAAGACTCCGTGAGGCATTATGAAGTGATTCTTGCCCAAGGACCGTGTCACATTTCCTGTTGTGTTACAGTGTTGGGTAAAGAGATCGTTTGGGAACGAAAATTTAGGTACATTATTAATTACATAATATTATAGGGGAAACGAATTGGTGCCGAAAATCTAAAATCAGGTTAATCCAGGCCCAGGTCTTAATAAACTACTAGATCTGTAGTTGTTGTTGTTTTGTTGTTGTTAGATCTGATACAGATAGGAGTACGATAACTATAATAGTGTCAAAAAGTTGATTTGCTCACCAGATATAGGATCAATAAACAAGATCACATCCTCCTCTAGGATAGCTTCCTTATCGACCACCACGTTATCATAGTCGAACCACTGCTTTTTAGACCAATCGTTGCCTGTAGGTAGAAGTCAGGTTTACTGATTATTCACTGATTACCTGGGTTACAGGGGTAACATGTTACCTGGGTTACAGTTACCAGGGTTACAGGGGTAACATGTTACCTGGGTTACAGTTACCAGGGTTACAGGGGTAACATGTTACCTGGGTTACAGTTACCAGGGTTACAGGGGTAACATGTTACCTGGGTTACAGTTACCAGGGTTACAGGGGTAACATGTTACCTGGGTTACAGTTACCAGGGTTACAGGGGTAACATGTTACCTGGGTTACAGTTACCAGGGTTACAGGGGTAACATGTTACCTGGGTTACAGTTACCAGGGTTACAGGGGTAACATGTTACCTGGGTTACAGTTACCAGGGTTACAGGGGTAACATGTTACCTGGGTTACAGTTACCAGGGTTACAGGGGTAACATGTTACCTGGGTTACAGTTACCAGGGTTACAGGAGTAACATGTTACCAGGGTTACAGTTACCAGGGTTACAGGGGTAACATGTTACCTGGGTTACAGTTACCAGGGTTACAGGGGTAACATGTTACCAGGGTTACAGTTACCAGGGTTACAGTTACCAGGGTTACAGGGGTAACATGTTACCTGGGTTACAGTTACCAGGGTTACAGGGGTAACATGTTACCAGGGTTACAGTTACCAGGGTTACAGGGGTAACATGTTACCTGGGTTACAGTTACCAGGGTTACAGGGGTAACATGTTACCAGGGTTACAGTTACCAGGGTTACAGGGGTAACATGTTACCTGGGTTACAGTTACCAGGGTTACAGGGGTAACATGTTACCTGGGTTACAGTTACCAGGGTTACAGGGGTAACATGTTACCTGGGTTACAGTTACCAGGGTTACAGGGGTAACATGTTACCTGGGTTACAGTTACCAGGGTTACAGGGGTAACATGTTACCTGGGTTACAGTTACCAGGGTTACAGGGGTAACATGTTACCTGGGTTACAGTTACCAGGGTTACAGGGGTAACATGTTACCTGGGTTACAGTTACCAGGGTTACAGGGGTAACATGTTACCTGGGTTACAGTTACCAGGGTTACAGGGGTAACATGTTACCTGGGTTACAGTTACCAGGGTTACAGGGGTAACATGTTACCTGGGTTACAGTTACCAGGGTTACAGGGGTAACATGTTACCAGGGTTATATGTTCATGATTACATAGTTTAGTGGCAAGTGAGTTGGGAAGGGTTGTATAAGTTACATAATTTTGTACTTTCGATATTATGTGAAATGTTGCCCCCCAAATATACATAATATTATGATGATGTTTACTTTGTATTAAGTAAAATCAGATAGGGAATAAGTAAATGATTGCTTTTTCTTCTAGTCCGAGCTATGTCTTTTTTTCCCCAGGAAAATAGTAAGAGACCTACCCTTACCTGATTGTATTCTTCCATAAAACTGTACGGTATTATTATTAAACTATCAATGATGTTCTTCAAGATTTTTTACTGTCGCAGCAATTATTTTCGATATTTTAGGATATAAGCTCCTTCGTGGGGTCTTCGAGGGGGAGCAAAATTATACTCAAAAATTCAGAACCTAAAACCTTAAAAACACCCAGCAAGTTACACTAACCGGAAACTAAACTAACCAAATCTAACATCAATTACATGTCAGTCACATGCTTGTGCCATGTGCACTCATTTGAGTTTAGATGCAGACAGCAAACAATAATGTGTAGTTTGTCTCCCGGCCACCGGGTCACGTTTTGGAGATCGTGAATTGCAGTCATTCCATCTACATTCTGCATGCAGAGTACAGACACAGCTCAGCAGCAAACCGATCACCGTTTGATTTTCATTTGTAGTCATAAACCCAAAATTGTGGAATGCAATGCCTTACCATCTGAATTGCATCGGCGACCAGGAGCAACACAGTTCATATCTTCCCGATACACCGCCTATCAGGGGCAGAACTCCCCAGAACTCAAACTCGCTAGTACTTTGCTGGAGGAATGACAGAGAGATCTCCTCTCTGTGGGTGGTCACACGATGTCATTAACACTTAATGAATCTCACCATAGGTAGGTAGGTGCGTGTACTGGTAAAACCCTCGAAATTCTTGATCACTGTACTACTTATTCTTGCCGAATCTGCTGCCTCTTGTTCTATTTCAAAGTTATCATCATTACTGGGCTTGATGAGGTGGCACGCAAAAGAATGCTCTTAACTCACATCGTCAATCTATGCCGCAAAATCGTTTTCGATCATCTTTTAAATTGAAGGTAATACCAGCATAATGCTGCCTTTGTTTATCTTAACTGTGATATCATGAAACTTGTCAGTGGAATAGAAAACAGACTAAAATCGGAACAATCCAAATTAAACTATGCATTTTGTAGTCGAAAGGATATAATATTGTAATTTGTAACATTTGAAGATTTGAAATAAAAGTGCATAGTCAGTAAAATTCAGAATAAATAGATAAAATCTGAGAGTAACAAAACTAAAATCAACATAAATCAAAAATATTCCCCATTCATGTATTAAAAATAAAGTAATAACAAATAATTTAACCCCTAAAAGTTTTCTTCAAAATTTCACCCTCTACAAAAAATAAACTATCGAAATTTTAAAAATACGCAATCCTGGCGTGGTCCTTTGATCTGCTAAGTTCACCTACACAACTTTTAACGCGTTACAGTATCAGATTTGTTCTCGTTGTCAGTTTTCTTCTTGATCTTGGTCACTACTTATACTCCCTGTTTGTCCCTCTTAAGAATTCAAGTTTGGAATGGAATGTGTTCTTTTTTCAAATACCACAAAATGGAATAGGAAAAGTTTTCAAAATACATTCTAAGGACGGTCCTTGACAAGTCCAGCTTTTTAACCGAATTGGTACTAGCAACTTCTCTTAATTTAACGTGTTCAAAGTTTTATGTTTTTAACTTGATAATATCGCCATGGCGTTTTAGTAAATTTGTGTCCCAAAATCTATTATGTCCAATGTCGGAGTGCATTGCCTTCAAAAGGTAAGAATCAAATCAAATTGAGTTGCAAACAATATTTGGGCCGGATGATGCTCATAATAATTCATAAAAAATGTAATTAAAAGTAATTAAAAGTAATTAAAAGTAATTAAAAGTAATTAAAAGTAATTAAATGTAATTAAAAGTAATTACATGTAATTAAATGTAACCGTACCTGCACGATGGAACACAACAAGCTGTTTCTTATCTGCTGAGTGAGATAAGCCTCCTATCTGACCGATATTCTCCACAATACCAACAGATTTCCAGGAATCGTCCACCTCGTACGACACCTCGTTCTCTTCTTCTTTCACTCTCGCGTAATCCGGTACGGTGAATTTCTTTTCGTAGTAGCAACCGTCCTCTAGCCTGAATTATGTTATAATTATAATTTAAATAATTATCTCAGTGTAGACAAACCATTGTTTAATTGTTTTAACTGGATGTGGAGTGTTAGTTATTGTAGTTATTGTTAAATATTACTATTTCATTGTTATATTACTGAAATTGAGCAATTTAATTAATGGATTTGCGGACAAGAAAAGGGGTTAGGATTGGTAGAATAATACCAACTTCTTGAACTAATTGTAACTGCTTTTATAATTTTGTACAATACACTTAATACCAGTTTGACTCTACAGAAATCATTACTGTACATACATTCTATATTTATACTATATTTAAACTAACTGGAATTGTTAAACTCGACAGAAATCACTATTGTACAACATGATACACCCAAATTTATATATCTACTAACCTGAATTTGTCAGCGTCCATGAAGTACATCATGTAGAAGTTACACATCTCGTCCTCGCCAGTGGACCCTATTCTGGTAGTGATGTCACGTGTGCTCACAAACTCACACCGTGCGTGAAGTATGTCACCTGGGAGGAAATAAATTGTCATGTTTATAACACGCTTCTAATATTTTTCTAACATTTACACGCTTTGGAATTGAAAATATACCCAAAGATAAGATTTAAGCACTGGGTTCAAGAGGCATACATATTCGCCCAAAAAACATCCGGTTCAATTTAATCGCCGAATTCTAATCAAAAGTCAGGTCTCAAGTTGTTAGAGCTGTTAGAGTTGTTAGAGCCGTTAGAGTTGTTAGAGTTATTAGACTGTATTAACCTTTTCTAACGGGATGGTTCTCCCCCTTCATGAGGTAAAACATCTGAGGTTTCTGTGGGTTACCGGTACCGAGCAGTGTCCACGTTCCCTCGCGCTCTCTCCACCCTGACACACGCACTCCTAACTTGTGGGTGTGAGTCCTGAGTGGGGAGGTGAGTGGTTAGTGGGGAGGTTAGTGGTTAGTAGGTGATTTAGCGATTAGTCAGAAGATGAGCGGGTAATTATGTAAATTGATGATGGTATTATGAGAATGATTGTTATGACATTACAATTGCTATTTCATGACTTTCATTATGCTTGTTAACAGTCCCAAGCTGGTTTACCCTATTTATGAGACCATTAAAAGTTCTCTTTAAATGATTAGGTGCTTCCAACATTTTAATACTAATTATCAAAAAACTTAATCTTGATTCATGAACCAAGTACCTGTAAGCGAATGGTGTGATTTCGACATCGTCTTGGAATGCACACGTGGTGTCAGCGTTCACACTCATACGGGGAGGAATTACAGTTCCACCAGTTGCAAACAGGTATATCCCTGATAAGTATTTAAATTATTTAAACTAACCATTAACCAATAAGGGTTACATATTATTATCAGTTTTAAATTTCCCACTAATTGATGAATTTCCAGCTAATTGATGAATTACCAGCTAATTAATTACCAGCTAATTTAGGAGGAGGTTTGGTGATGAGGATCACATCCACACCACTGTTATCTGCTTCCTTTAACTTATATTTGTAGTGCACTTGTAGTAGAATGTAGTCTATCTTGGCATTCCTTCCCACGTGAAAACCGACCTGATAATTTGATAGAATTTAAAAAACATAGAGAGGTGTTAAAATAAATTATCCATAACAGTGTCATGAGCAAAATACAATTTTAGGTGAATTTTTATTAAATTGATCAAATAAATGTTGATCAATGAGTTTGAAACCCCAAACTCAAACAATTAATATACTAACGAAGTTTTACAAGTTTCACAAGTTTTACAATATAACTGCACCTTGTCGGGTAGATCAAACTTAGGAGCGTCCAGAGCCCAGGCCCACAGAATAGTGTTAACCTCAGCAGACCAGTGACAGATCCCACCCATGTCACCCACATCCCAGTAGGGTTTGTCCTGGGCTGGCTTGGTGCACCCGTATATCAGAATGTGGTGAACTCTCTCCGCAGATGCCTGGGCAATTAATTGATAAATAAATTAATTAAATGTTCAGTTTATTAATTAAACAATAATCGTTATCAATGATGACTAAGTGCTTGGCTTTCAGAACTGATAAAATTAAGATCTTAATATTTGTTCACTAGTCATCTGGAAAAAACCGTCCAATAAGATATTGAAAACACAGACCACGTTAAAAAGACAGATCTTAATATAAAGTTATACGGTGTAGTAGTTACTATGGTTACTGGAATTCTAAGTGATCCTACCTGAGGTACGTATCCCACAATGTAAGCATCATCGTAGTCCACTTTAACTGGAGTCACAAGATACATATCATGCACTGTCGTCAAAACATCCGGCATTCGGAGTGGAAGTGTCACAACGTCACCCTCGATAGATTTGGTCTTGATTTCACCTTTCGCAACTTCTTTTTCTGGAACAGTCGTTTCATTGGCAGGGGTCTCTGGGTCTTTAGCCGGTGCTTCAGCCTCTTTAGCAGGTGCTTCAGCAGGTGCTTCAGCCTCTTTAGCAGATGTTTCAGCCTCTTCAGCAGGCGCTTCAGCCTCAGTTACATTGTCTTTGGTTTCAGCGGCGGGAGTTTCGTCAGGTGTTGGGACTCCTTTAGAAAGGGAAACAAGGCATAGGAGGAGAAAAACTGACCGCACAATCATTTGTCGAGTCATAAGCTACAAAGAATAAAGGTTGATGTATCATACAGAAACTAGAAATAGCAGCTGTATGCTCTCACTAAAAATAATTCATAATCTAGGACAAATAAATCAATCACAACTTGTAAAAAGTCACAGTAATACTTACCGTTATTATTTCGTTAGAGAACGATAATACTACTGTTTTCACAAAAATACCATAGCTCACAGTGAAACATTTACAAATATTTGAATAACAAAATACGGATCACGGGTGTTACGTCAAATATGATATTATAAAAGTTATAAAACAGTTAAAATCGTGAAAAATAGACCATACAAGGAAAAGCACGTTTAATAACTTACATTTAAAACCCCAGCTAAATTGGTGCAATATAATAAATTATGGAAAACGCTGTGAAAAGTTACTTGCTATATGAATTAGCGGCATGTTTCGGTAAAAAATTATAATCATCAGGAACCTTCCCCAACAAAATTTCAGTCAATTTAACCCAATCTTGACAGTTATCAGAGCACATCAGAGTCTCTGTTTCATCTCTTCCATGATAATATGGCGGTCTTTCGTTGATTTTCTGTGGGAGCACCTCCAGGACCCCAACTGGAATGTACCGGTAGAGGAAAGACATCCATTCCAACATAAATCTCCGTGTCTTCTCAACCCCTGAAGTGTCAGTCCCCCAGTGTTCCAAACCGTATCTTGTAAACTTTTTTAACATCTCCATCCGCTCACACGAAGAGATATCCATGTGTTTCTGCTGCTTTATTTCTGAGAAAAGCCATGGTTTAATCAATGCTCCCCTACCTATCATCACACTATCCGTAAACTTCTGACTCTCGTTATAATCCTCGTAGGAGAGAATGTCCCCGTTTCCGACTAAAGTGATGGGGTCAGCTGCCTCCTTGCACTTGTTGATGTACTCCCAGTCAGCTTTCTTTGTGTACCTTTGCTGTCGTGTCCGACCGTGGATTGTTATGTGTGAGATACCTGTTTTCTTTAGCCTCTCGCACAAACTAATACCAGTGAGTTTAGATTCTGAGGTGCCGATCCGCATTTTTACAGAGATAGGAATGTCAGAGACGTGAACCATGCCAGTCAGTATCTGTTCCAATTTGGTAGCACGATCCATGAGAGCACTCCCAGCTCCTCTGTTAAACACCATATCTATAGGACACCCCACGTTGAGGTCTATAAAATCTACATCGCACTCTGAGTTGATCAACTCACACGCTTTAGACGTCATAGTGGGATTATTCCCACAGATCTGTACTCCGAAAATATCCTCCGTGTGATGTCGTTTGAGTAACGCCCACTCACTACCATGAGCTTGAACCAGGTCCCCACACAAAGCCATCTCCCCGCAGGTTATATCAGCTCCATACTCCTTACAGATTCGTCTGAATGGAAGATTACCTACGGTTGTAAGCGGAGAGAGAAAGAGCTTGCCACGAAGGTCTAAGGTCTTTTTTGGTCTTGTTTGGAGGCAGTAATAATCTTCTTTTATTCTTTCATAGACATTCTGACATGTGAGCTTGTGGTTTGGTTCGTCTTTGTTTTGCGAATTAGCTTCAGCTTTAAAACCGTTCTTTGATTCAGTATCAACTGCGCTGCCATTCGTTTGTATTACATTGTCTTTGTTATTATTTTCTGAGTCTACGGTAGAAACATCAATTTTGGGCCTTTTCGACAGAGTTCTTTTTAGATGGGTTCCCAGCTCAGTAGAAAGATCGTTACCGTTCGATTCAAGAAATTCGTACGATCTTTTAAACCAGACTTGTTTTGACCTTAGATTCGATTGAATCTCTTTCTGCAAGGTCTTTTTTACTTCATAGATTTTCATCTTTTCATTTAGGTCCCCGTCAATTATATTTCTTAGATCTTTATCGAGGTGACCCGAACCATAACGACAAGCTATACCATAATTACAAAGACCGTACAGTTTGAAGTTAACACACTCATCAGCTAAATCAGGCCCTTTCATGGATAAAAAAGCCTGCCTGTCATGACTCCTCTTGCATTTATCCTTCAAGAGGCACTCTGCGTCCCTGATCAGATTCTGACATAACATCTGAGATGCAGGTTGTTGATAGGCTCTTCTCCTCTTGTTCTGGCCTCCTTTCTTCCTCTTTTTAGGTTGGTTGTTTTGTGCATCTCGTGGATCAGAGGCAGGTGCTTCCGGAATTGAAGGCTTTTCTGTAAGGAATTCTTGTTTAATAGGAGCTTCTCCAACTCGAATCATTCTGTGGGGACCTAGAAAGAAGAAGGAAGTTTTTGATTGAGATCTGTAAGTTACAAATAGCAATAAAAATAAACAAGCATTTAATATAACAAGGATGCAAAATAATTTTTGTGTTGAACAAGAAAAAAGTTGATTACAATCAATTAATTTAATTCTGGCGATCAGGTTTCGATCAGAATTGGGTTTAGAAATAAATTTGAATTATTTTCTGAGTTTTCGGCAATAAAAACACAATTGAAATAGTCGATAAATAAATAATAAATACCAATAGATACCCCACAGATTGTCAAATAATGTTTAAATAATTTTAGTATATCATAAATAGATGTGGATACTGGCGGGGAGGTGATAATTATTTGTTTACATTAATAGGTAGTGAGCACATGTTAAGCAGGCTGAGGATCGAGGTGATAATTGTTTGTTTAAATTTTAGGTGGAGCACATGTTAAGCAGGCTGATGAGGTGATACATATTTTGTATTATAGAAGGCTTGTAACACTTGTAACGCCTTCTTGTTACCCCCCTTTGAGGGCCCCGAATTATTTTCTGAACGAAAGCTCAAAAATAACCGAGAAATCGACCTTCTTATTAACTCATTTTGATGACCGTTTCTAACCTAAAATTGCACGAAAAATCGATTTAGCTAGGTTTCAGAACCTATAAACACTTCCTTATCCCTCAAAATTGATGTTTTATAGTTTAGAATGCGAGCAACAAGCAACATATATTTTGATCCTTTGGTTCTACTGCAGCTCTTGACCTAGGGCTGAAACCGAAAGATCGAGGCAATCCTCACCTTAACTGATCGAACTTGAGCGAAGAGCAGAGTACAACAAAACACAGCAGGTAAGCAACTCATTTTGGTGACTGTTCCTCACCTGTACAACGTTGCACGAGAAATCGATTTAAGTTGGTTTTACAGCCCAATAACGCTTCCCTATTCCTAAAATTTTTGTGTTACTCAAACAAAGAACATGATGATTCTGCAACGAAAGAACAAGGAGATCATCTCGTTAACAACTCGAACGAGAGGCCGACGACCAGGCCCCCTTATTACAGAGGCGGCTATTGAGGGCGTCCAGGCGTCCGTGGACGCCCTAAAATTATTATCTGGTGGCTGTTGCTTAAAATAGAAATAGTAATTAGTAATAGTGTTAGGAAATAACAAATCGCAATATAAAGCTCTTTATTCACTATCATACGTTTTAATGTAAGCGCACGCATGATCTTCGTGAAATTTTGTGTTGTAGGGAGTCCAACCCTACCATTGGACTACTCAGCCGCGCAGTTTTAACACATAGTTAATTGTAAACGTTACAAAGCACATCGTGCGCATCCCACTACAGGTAACCTATTATGATTTGCCATATATTATGATTTGCCTCGATTTGAGGGTCCAGGACCCTTTGCAGTTTGAAATATTGACTGCTATGATACTGCGCGGCTAAGATCGTACACGTGTGGTGTCCTGTTTCAACCATGTTATAAGTTTTTGTTTTTGTTTGCTGTCGCCTGTAAAGTGTTACACATTACATATAACAAGGCCCTGTGTGTAATGTAATCGGTAGTTTGGAGGGATCAGCTTGAGCCGGCTCCCAAGCCCCCCTCCCCCCGGCCCCCCCAGTCCATCGATTGGACCCCCAACAAAACTGCCAGCCAGCTCCCACGAGCCGCCTCTGCCTTATTATTAGGGGTCCCACGGAGATCAGATCATATCACCAATTAGTGACGTATAATTAATGATGTGATCCATCAGTAGTATTTAACTGACCTAGAAATGGGCTAGATACAGGTTAGAGTTCACATGTCAACTCTGTACATCATGGCATTGCATTAAGAAGTAAATATGATCTTTAAGATCTGACCGCTTGACTCGTATATCACATAAGGGACGGGAGCTCTTGCTAAAGGGGGTTCTCGTATCTAAGGATGTTAGGATGTGAGACGTACGTGTCAAAGGCATGTGTTTTTAGGTATATAATTCAAGGACAAAAGGAAATCGCGACACGTGCGGAATCGCGATTTTTCCTATTCTCCGCGACAAATCGCGATTTTTGACGTTTGCAGCGCCAAATCGCGATTTTCTCAGATCCTCGCGACAGATTGCGATCATTTCAGTTCTACACGACAAATTTGTGCATTCTCCTTTAAATCTTCAGGCCAAATATCACGTTATTTATAAATATAAGTATATGGAACCAATCACATCCACAGCCTTCCGAATGTATGTACGGACTTCAGCATTCCGAGATCGCATTACAAGGGGGAAGCTTCGAGTCCAAAATCGTATATCGAGAGGTAGGTACTACTAAAAGGTACGGGCTTCAGTAAAGTAAATCGTTGACACACCCTTTTGATCGCAACGTGTAGGCTACATATTTTTTTTCCGGTTTACTTGCTACACGGTGAAGCAAGTAAACCGGAAAAAAATATGTTAGGCTCATAATGATCATAATGATCATTATGCAAACATTCACATGACGATGACTCACCCACTTAAGGAATTGTGCGAGAAGATGAACAATCAACAAAGGCAAAGATGAGGAAATAAAATAATGTGTAATGCGTGTTAGGCATAAGGTTAGTTAGTCATAAGGTTAGTTAGGAGTTAATTTGTTAAGTGAAATTGAATCATGAGATTTGGAACAATGATAACATTGATCAATTGTTAAGACAATATATACGGACAACATCTCATGAGGGTAAAGGAAATATTTCTATGAACGTAGTGATCAGGAGTGTCAGCTTTATACTCGGACGACGAGCCCTCGGTCCCCACAAAAGATAATTTTTTAGAATTATAGTTAAGACTAGTAGTACAAAATGTGTAAAGGAGCTAATGGTCAGTCTATAAAACACATGAAAAGCAGTCTGCTCCATACCCCTTAGTCTCTAGCTCTGTTATCAAAACACGTGATTCGATCACGTGATTTTATCTCATTGTAAACAGGGTTTATTTGTTTCATTACGTGTAGTATGGTAAAGTATTAACACAATTTAACTAATAATATCATGTGAACAGAGTTGACATGTGAACTCTACTCTGTATCTAGCCCATTTCTAGGTCAATTAAATTCTACTGATGGATCACATCACTAATCATACGTCACTAATTGGTGACATGATCTGATCTCCGTGGGACCCCGAATAATGAGGGGGCCTGGCCGTCGTGCAGCCACTCGAACAGGTTCTATCACAATTTTCAGAGCAGAGCACGATAGCAAAATCAAAAGAAACAAAATAAAGGTAGGTAACCAACACCATGATATAACAATCATAATAACAACTGAATTAAATTTATTCGGACGACGGGCAGCCCTGATGTGCTCCGCTGTAGAACCAAAGGATCAAAATATATGTTGCTTGTTGCTCGCATTCTAAACTATAAAACATCAATTTTGAGGGATAAGGAAGTGTTTATAGGTTCTGAAACCTAGCTAAATCGATTTTTCGTGCAATTTTAGGTTAGAAACGGTCATCAAAATGAGTTTATAAGAAGGTCGATTTCTCGGTTATTTTTGAGCTTTCGTTCAGAAAATAATTCGGGGCCCTCAAAGGGGGGTAACAAGAAGGCGTTACAAGTGTTACAAGCCTTCTATAATACAAAACATGTATCACATCCTCAGCCTGCTTAACATGTGCTCCACCTAAAATGTAAACAAACAATTATCACCTCCTCAGCCTGCTTAACATGTGCTCACTATTAATGTAAACAAACAATTATCACCTCCCCGCCAGTATCCACATCTATTAAGGGGGGGGGGGGGGGGGGACAATGGATATTTTTTCGTGAAACTTGATTTCGAGATAGCAGTTGACCAACAAACTAGGACCAGTGACTGAACTTTTGAGGGTGTCCCGGACCCCAACCGCCAAACGGTGCCCGCGGGGCAGCCACGCCCATATTTGGTCCAAATTAGGCCCAATTTAGCCAAATACCCTGAAGATGCCCAAAACCCAGATTTTAGGTGCTCTACTTGTAGCTAGTGGTCTCCTGAACTCGTATATGAAATTTCATCAAGATTGGACAAAAAATGACTGAGTTATGGGCCAAAAACCATATGCCCATATTTGGGCATACGCACCAAATCTTGTAGATTTCGTCCCATAAATTGGGCAAATATCAATATTTTTGAATAAAACTTACTTTATAAGAAAGATAAGCCTAAACTACATATTCTCTGTAAGTTATAGCTTTATATCTGCTTAAATGTGGATACTAAGGCGAAAAAACCACAAAAAATGAACTAAATTGCCCGTATCTTGGTTTGCAATATTCGCGGAATTGATCTCATTAAAATTGTAACAACTCAATCAGTTTTCAAAATTTTTCCATGAAATTTTTGGAATCGACTCAAAATCACATTTCCACCTTAGTTTGAGAACAGATTTTTGATTTAGGCCTCCAAAGAAATTTGGCGGCCAAATTCTGAATTTTTACGGGAAAATTTTGGAATTTGGCCGCCAAATTTTTTTGGAGGCCTAAATCAAAAATCTGTTCTCAAACTAAGGTGGAAATGCAATTTTGAGTCGATTCCAAAAATTTCATGGAAAAATTTTGAAAACTGATTGAGTTGTTACAATTTTAATGAGATCAATTCCGAGAATATCGCGAACCAAGATACGGGCAATTTAGTTCATTTTTTGTGGTTTTTTCGCCTTAGTATCCACATTTAAACAGATATAAAGCTATAACTTACAGAGAATATGTAGTTTAGGCTTATCTTTCTTATAAAGTAAGTTTCATTCAAAAATATTGATATTTGCCCAATTTATGGGACGAAATCTACAAAATTTGGTGCGTATGCCCAAATATGAGCATATGGTTTTTGGCCCATAACTCATGGGTCATTTTTTGTCCAATCTTGATGAAATTTCATATACGAGTTCAGGAGACCACTAACTACAAGTAAAGCACATAAAATCTGGGTTTTAGGCATGTTCGGGGTATTTGGCTAAATTGGGCCTAATTTGGACCAAATATGGGCACCGTTTGGCGGTTGGGATCCGGGACACCCTCAAAAGTTCGGTCACTGGTCCTAGTTTGTTGGTCAACTGCTATCTCGAAATCAAGTTTCACAAAAAAATATCCATTGTCCCCCCCCCCCCCCCCCCCTTAAACAATAGATAAATTTGCCCCAAGGCCGAAATTAAAGTTTTTTTTGCACAAAAAACGAATCATTAAAAACTGCACCTCTGTATCGTTGTGCTTTTCACGACAAAACCTTCAAGGTTTTAAACGCTGTTACATGGTAAATTCATAATCATTAATCACCTAACATACAACTTCAACTTACTTCATTTTCAAGTTGCTTTCAAATTCATCATAATCCCTCAGCAATCCCTCAAACTCGTGAGCCCTTCTCCCTGCACCCTGCTCACTCTCTCCCACCGCCCTACTCCTACATTTAATCACCAGCAACCCCACCACCAACAGAACACCAAACCCTGCCATAACAGCAAAAGGGTTCGCCTGTAAGAACTCAACTATACCAAGTTTGGGGAACCTCAGGGTCACACTCTCGGTCCCGAAATCAGCCGGCGTAGAACAGGTTTCAGGGCCGATAGTTGAACTGTGCTGCACCATTGTCATCAGCGTTACCTTACACAGCTCCTCACGTGGGTTCCGGTAGGGAATGTTAACATTAGCGCTGTACCTACCACTATCATGGTACTCACACCGTGCTTTTAGTATTTCTCCCGGCCGAATACGGATAGGAGCGGGCAGGAGGTGGATCTTGTAGGAAACTCTTAGTGAACCTAGTTCTATCTTAGAGGTTGTGGCGGTCTGGTTTATCGTGTTGTTGATAGTCGGGATGATGCTCACTTTATGGTTGTCAGCCCACACTGTTATATGTTTCCCGTGCATTCCCATTTCACCAACAAACCCATATACAATAAAGCTTGATTTCTCGTTTTTACATGAGATGTCAACGTGTAGTCTCTGGTGTAATGTCGGTCGTGGTCGGGTAATGGTTCTGACAAATCTGTAGTTTGAGTGTCGGTACTTTTTTGGTTTACGGCAGTCGGTGAAGTGGATTTTAACGATTTTGTGTTCTAAGACTATGGGTCGGTTTGTCTTGGTCATCGAGAATTTCACCAGTCGAGCCACAAGAAAATGCACGTCTGTCTCAAACCTGGATAGATATGTAAGTAGTGCAAGTGAATTATATATATTGACATACATAGAATTGGTTATTCGTTATTGAATTGATATGCGAGGTGACCCATGAGTGCCAATCGAATTTAAAATCATTACGTTTGAAATCAACATGTTGAATATGTTAGTTGGAACCTCCTGACCCGTATTAAACCCAGAAGTGTCAAATTGTCAGTCAACTGTCATTACTCGGTGGACCGCAAGGCAAACTATATTACGAAATCCTTAAGAGGTCCTTGAAATTTCTTAAGCTTAAATCTTTATAGAGTTAAGGTCGGTTATGTCGTATTAATAAGTTGAATAATAAAAGGAATACATTATGTACATTTCGGTAGTTATTCCTAATCATTCTCGCTTCCTAAAGCTCTTAAGTGTTGTTCCTCTTGTATATTATAACATGCATATTGTATAATGTATATTGTATAATGTATATTAATTCTTAGGACTAAAGACATGTAATAAATAAGGAGGAATCCGTCCTAATTGTGGTGCCTTACTGCCTAGATCTGAACAAACTTCATTTGTGTACTGAGAATACTGTGTACTGAAAAAGCGATAAGTTTGAAGAGTCAATTGATAGCTTACAAATTTAAATAATATAATATACAGGGTGGCCCAAAAGTAACTACCCACACGCAACCCTTAAATAACTAACGTAATTCGTGTCAGAATTTTACAAAAATTTCAGAGAATATAGATATGGGTCAAACTTAGAAGTTCTGAAAGTAATGTAATAAGAATTACAAAATCTTACTTACAAATCTTAATAATATAATTATACCAACAGTGCTTACCCTGCAAGAACGGCTATATCCCCCGGAAGTTTAACAGGTGATTGTCCGTTGTACCACGCCCACAAGAGGGTGTAAGGTCCCGGACCACACGGTGCAGTCGGATCGGTCTTGTCGGTCAGTGTACCTGGTTATAGGTAATGTTGATTGGGTGTGGCCCCTCAAAACTTCAAAATCGAATTTTCAAATTTTGGCAACGAAATCCCCGAATGAGTATTTCGGCCCAATGTAAGCTTTGTAATCTTATAAAGGAAGAAGGTTATGAGATAGTTGTAGAAGACACTTATTTCGGGCAAACAATGCAAAACTTTCATAAACGTGTCAATGGACACAGAGCCTGTTTTAAAGTAGAGGATCGTAATAAATCAGCCCTTTCGATTCATGCCTATGAACATCACAGTGACATTTTTACTATTGACAACTATAAATTTGCCATTTTGAAAGAATGTAACCCCAGGGGATTAAATAGAGAGGAATTTAGGTATATTGAGAAGTATAGAACTAATTGCTTGGGTTTAAATAGATGCAAAGTTGAAAGATAAGGTTCTTAGTTTTTAATTCTTCTTTTTTGAAGCTTCATTTTGGAAGCTATATTTTTGTGTAGTTCATCTCCATTTACCTTGTGTATTTTATTTAGGTTATTTGATTCTCGATTGTTTGAGGCATTTTAGATCTATGTATATTTAGTACTAATAAAACTAACCAACTTAATTCCTTTGTAGCTAATGATGTAATTTAACGAAGTATACACTACATTTGCGTGTTTCACTGTCTAGCCCACCAACCATAATATAAAATGAGTATTTACAGTATACCATCTGCCGGGTGTTTGAATCACCAATAATCAATGTTGCATTGGTGCTGCTGCTAACATAGCGGAACTATATTCTGTATCCCAAGTCCCTCTTTTAGAAGCTCTTTAAATCTATTCTGTGGTCCCAGAGAAACTGTAACTGCTTGCTCATGATATATAAAGACTGCGTCCCTCTATAATTGTCTCAATGACTTTCCCAATCGTTGAGCCTTTCACTGAGAACTCAACAGAGCACTCTGGTAACTAGACGCAAATTACTGGATGAAGAGAGGGTATCACAATAATCCACTTCAGGTTAGATTTTTTCCGGAATCTTACCTGCTTCAAGCAGGTTTATAATAACTGGTTTGCTGTACGTGTCCGCACTGTCGTATTTCGTTTTTATCAATATCATCAGACATTGCTTTATCAGGTTAATAATAAACCCAAATATCAATGAGTTGACACACCTGAAGTTACCAGCTCATTCAACAACCATTCAACAACATTATTTCATCGAGATGGCAGGGCCTATAACTCTCATGCTGTCTATAATAGATGATGATAAACTCTGAAAAACTGGGGACAACTGGGGAATGATCCCAGAACCTCGACATATCGCGTGCCTTGCTCTACCTATTGAGCTACTGTCCCTGATTTTCAGAGCGAAATCACCACTCATATACAGCACAATTTCATGCTATGTGCGGAATACAGTTTATCAGTTTTTAGATTACATATTCGCATATATCCACACGTCTATTTACACTATCAATAACGAAAGTTTGCTTGCTCAAACTGGAAGTGACATTAATGAAGAATTAGATGGTGTACGAACTACGATTACAAGAAAGATCTGGGAATGTAACAGATGAGATCACATCTTCTGAAGGCCAAGGTATGCCATTATATGACGCAAGTGGACGAAATAATGGCATTGAGACTCAGAAACCAATTCTTAAACCATGCTCTTGCCGTTTAAAGTGTAAGGACAAAGTATCCGAAGAAGTGAGAGCAAAAATCCACACCAAGTATTGGAACATGAGTTATATGCAGAGAGAAGACAATTTTTAGTTTGAACAATTTTTTGAACACAAGGGTCCCTGGCCCTCCCCCAAAATTTGTTTTTCAAATATCTTAAATTTGGTACAAATCGTTTTTCTTTCCAAACTAAAAACAATCCAGTAAAATTTTTTCCGAAATTTATTAAGTTATCATGTTTTCTATCTCGATTTCGAGGTCCACACCTCACCCTCGATAAACGATCTTGGAGTCGAGGCTCCCCCTTTGTAATGCGATCGGAGGGCAGGCAATACGAGTTCGAAAGCGGGGAGAACATTTTCTAAGTCACAAATTTTAAAGGTTTTCCTTGAAACAATTTTTCTCCACAGTTCATGTCACACTGATCGTCGAAATTTATTTTTCAGGACCTAGCCCTCGAGAATTTTTCCTGGAAATTAATGACATTTCTGATTGATATGTGCGGCCAATCACCTTCTAAACTACTTACTTAAGTAGGATATCCGGTCAATTTCTAAATTTAACATTATCAGAGTGAAATTGAGTGGAATTTAAAAATATTTTCAAATTTGTTATTATTCTAGAGGGAAAAAAACAACATTTTTATTACGTTATCAACAACCACTTGGTTCCCACTTCAGGATGACCGCGTGTTATTTTTTTGCAGTTGCATAGTTTATCCCATCGTATAATTATACGTGACATCATATAATATTATAATAATACGTGAAATTCATTCCCTCGTTGTTTTTTTTAGCACGTGGTTGTTGGATAGCTGTTTTGTTATTACAGCTGCCTCGAGATGTGTTATATGCCGCGAGATGTGTAATATATAGTGCGCTACTGTTATTTGTTTTTGGAACTTCCCACCTCAGACTGGCGTCTGAGGTGACTCCCAGTCTGTCCTCATAATACTCATTATTTTGTTTAATCCAGTGGTCGCTGGTTAGCCCTTTTTATTACAGCTGCCTCGAGATCTTATCTGTGGCACTAATACTAGAACATTAGAAGTGTAATCCTAAAACCTCAGATTAAGATTACTTGGCTGAATAGCAGGGTTAGAGATTCGACCGAGGGCACTGAGGTCACATACCAGGTTTAGATAACCAGTTGAGGGCAAGTCTCTGAGTCTCAATTTCCATAGTCAGATCACGGGGTTAATTTAATAACAAGTCTTGAAATTTGTCCACAAGTAGATTTTAGAGCGGGTCTAAATGACCAAAATCTGCCTTACGTGGTCGATCTCTTACTTTTCGGACACTAGGGAACAAGGGTCGGATCTCGGGCCCAATAGCTAGATAGTTCCCCTGAGGATAGCATGCGGATTGACGGTAACGCTGCTTATCTATTAATGATGAGAAGGTTGTTAAGTACTTAAGTAGATACATATAACAGTTTTAATATTATTATATATAATATATATACATATATTACATGGTACATTGTGGTTCTTTTGCGATAGTCAAAACGCGATAGTCAAAACGCGCTGGATAGTCGCCATCCAGCGCTAGTTGTCGCGTTTTGACTATCGCAAAAGAACCAATATTGTTATCAAAATGCTCATTGTAGCCATAATATTTTAGATTTTCATCATCATAATATGTTGCTTATGAGTCTTGTCTTAGCCCAATAGCCCATTAGCGAGTAATTTCATTTTTCGCTCGACAAAAATCCGTTTCAGTTTTTTAGTTTCAGTTTTTTAGTTTCTACGACTTTCCTAGGCGGAAATGCCAATAATATTATATTATAATATAATAATATGTAAGTTGTACTATGATAATTAGGCACATTATCACCTCTTTTGTCTCCATAAAGTTTGAAGTTTAGTGTTTTCGTGAATCAAATTTAAATTGTAATGTCCTTAATCAAATGTCTCCAAAAACAAAATTATGTATGAATGAGTACTAGATAAATGAAAGAATGTCCGAATTTATAATATTATATATGAATATAAGTGGTCCAATAGTGGCAGTTTAATAGAGACCGTATCCTGGCCATTTCGTGGCCGTTTATAGGCCACATAGTGGTCGTATGGTGGCTGTATTATATAGGTCTTATCGTGGCTGTTTATAGACTGTATAATAGTGACGTAACTTAATCTTCCAATTTCCCCGTTTGGGAAAGTCTAACTTTGTAACTAATTGATTTTGCTACAATTAAAAATACTCCGGAACTTAAAACCTTTCCTTAGCTCAGAGGTCCTCGAAATGAAGATTTCAGGTGCAAAACGAAAGTGGCTGACCATTTTTGCTGTCATCTTCTATGCCCATGCCTCGAGTGTTTGTTCCTCTATTCGGTATGGTTTCCTAGCAGATGCTTTTTCGAGAAGAAATATCCCTGGAAAGATATACGGTTTGGTCGGAACAAGTCTGTTCCTCGGTTTTGGGTTTATGGTTTTCTCCCAGGGAACGGAAAAGCTGATGAGAAAATGGAGCAGCAGGTCCATCCTACTACTATGCATGTTAGGATGGGCAATTGTTTCGCTTCTCACTGGCTTTGCTTACAGTATTTCCGATACAACTGTTGTTATAGCCATCTCATTTGTGTTAAGGATATGTCAGGGAGTTTTGGCATATACAAGCACTCTTGTACCGATCGATTTCATCAATGCAAACTTCCCCGAAGAGTTTGACATGGTAAACGGGCTCGTGAATATGGGTTACTTTAGTGGGCATGGGGTGGCTGAAGCTGTTGGCTGTATCATCTATGACAAAATGGGATACACGGCAGCTTACGGATTCACTGCGGTCGTTGCACTTCTTGCAGCAACAAGTTCCTTTTTCTTCATTCCTACAACAAGAACATACTTGTCCACTCAAGATGACATATCGGATGATGATCAAACGATGTTAAAAACAGGATCGAAGAAAAATAAGCTCACAAAGTTATTAATAATTCCAATGATAGCTACAATGCTCATTAATGCAAACTATGGAGTAATTCAAGTACGGATTTTTCATTTTCGCAAACATTAATGCAGACATAATGTTGTATTTAATAATAATTAATGATCACGTCTTCTAATTATATATTTAAACTAAATCTCTCACCCCCTCCGTTCCAAGATCCTTTTGGGCAACATTGACGTATTCTTCAGGTCACAGTAACCCCCTTTCTGAAGGAAGAGTTTAACAAGTCTATTTCTTACGGCGGAACAGTTCTAACTCTAGTCTCAGTTGGAATGGCGACTGGGAGCGTTAGTGTAGGCGTAATTCTCCAGAAAAAGATTCTAAACCCCTTTACTGCGATGGGGATTGGTGCCACGTGTATCTTCACTGGACTTCTGGTAACTTTCCTGTTCTGAACAAGTGAGA